GAAAGGAAGCTCCTGGATCCCCAGCTACACCTTCCCAGGACTGGCCTGCTACCATTTTTGTCTGAGACCCATTCTTCAGTTTTGTGAGACAATGGACTCAGACTGAAACACCTCACATTTGGGGTTCAATAAGATGTCTTATATTTAGATTGGAGATTTTTCTTTTCCTAATTTTTTACCAGTCTTGGAAATACATTTTATCTACTTGACTCTGGTCTCCTCAAAGAGATATTTAGGTCTGTTTTGTTTTTTCTTTCCACTTCTAGTATATTGTTGTGATCCTAAAAACATGATTTCACTTTCTAAAGGATCTTATAAAGTACTGAAATTTCCTTGCTAACATTTTGTTATGGAGTTATTAGTTGTGTCTTTTAAAGCAACCTGGAGACTTCTCATTCTGCCTATGTATTTTAGAAGGGAGAAAAGCTGACTTTATTATTGTGCCCTTTTTTGTTTCAAGGACAGATTACATTTGATGTATTTCAAAAGATATATGGAACTTTCCATTTTTATTCTAATTACCTTTTTAACAATGTTCAATGTTGTCACATAGAGTGAGGCCATAAAACACTATACACTAAGGAGGTAAATGGTAATGACTGCTTCAAAAGTGTATAGTTTAGGGAATGTGCAGTATTGGAGTCAGGAACATTTCCCCCCCTATCTCTGAAGGGGTTTTCAATACAGCAGTCCTCAGAGGAACTGCATTTATGATTTTGCTGAGTTTACCTCAAAGACATTTGATGTTTTATCCTTTCTTTATTTGCCAGGCAGCCCTCAAGCAAAAAATTTACATGAGAAAACCATAGTGCACTGAGTTTTAATTAAAACTTCACATCCAAAATGCACTGGGATTTAATTTAAATATTTAATTGAAACACAACTTTAAACATAAAATAAGAGAAGGGATGTGAGACTAAATGATTGCATGACTAAGAGACACTTGAATTTAACCATAAGTACACTGATAGATTACTCCTCACCCATTGATCACTACATTTTTCTTGCTAATGAATAGCCCATCCTATGTACATTGTAGTTGTTACTGGACTACAGGGGTTCCTTTGCCTTTTCACATGAAAGCCCAATAAGACCAGAACATTAGTTGGTGGGAAAGAAAGTGTTTATTTTGGCAAGTGGCTCATGTTCAGAGACACAGGTGAACTAATGCTTAAAGCCCTGGCTCCCTGATGGCTTCCAGGGGATGGGTTATAGAAGGGGAAATCATTAATTATGATAACTAAGGGAGTTAGGGTTGTGGTCTCTACTGATCAGTTGATGCTAGGGTATGGGGATGGTTGATCATTGCATCCTTTCGTGATGTCATCCATAGCATGTGTCACTTCCTCTGGTTTCCCTGCTTTTCTGGGCCTGGAGCTGAGGCACAGGTTAAGCCTAGGTGTTATCTCTAATTTGGTTGGAATTCTGTCTCTGTGGTCTTTGTGTCTAAGATTATTTGATGCCGATCAGAACTTCATTGTCCTGAGAACCGAATGATTGAGGGAGTGAACCTGTAAGGAGAAAGAGGCAGGTGAGTCAGGGTTCTGTTTGAGGCCAGTTTGAATCAAAAGGAAAGAGAGGAGAAAAGGTCATAGTAAAGAAATTAAGCTTTTGCATGGTTACTAAAGCGTACGTCAATCAACACTGATAGAATCATCCCCTAATTCTCCTGTATTTTCTATTGTGATGAATGGTACTGACAATCTAGTTGCCAAAGCTTGAAGTCTTGATTTCTCCTACTTCCTCTCCTTAATAATCCAGCCTCCTTTATGAAGATGCCTTGACACAAAACTTTGCTTACACAGGGACAATGCTTACTGGCTGGGTTAGTCTTTCTCTACAGTTTGAACAAGGAATTTAGAAGAACACAAAAAGTACAAAGTGAAGTCAAATTAATTCCAGAACACAGTACTAGAGATCAACGTACTCTTGCTGGAGAGGAGGCAACCAGATTATGCAAGAGCCAAAGTTGCATTGAATTCAGAATGGTGTTCTTATATCCTGTGGGCTATGGCTGTAGCAAGTCTTTGTTTCTTTCCTGAAAGTTGGATGTCTGGTTTTTATAGGTCCCAATCAGACTGCAAAGTACAATTCCTATATAAAAAATAATAATTTTAATTGATTTTTTAGCAAGAGAGGAAGGGAGAGGGGAAAGAGAAAGAGAAACATCGATGTGAGAGGGGAACATCAATCGGCTGCCACCTGAATGCCCTCTACCAGGGATTGAGCCTGCAACCTTTTGGTTCATGTGATGACTCCCAACCAACTGAGCCACACCAGCCAGGGAAATTACTATCCTATATAATAAAAGGCTAATATGCAAATAGACCAAACTATGGAATGACAGGTCATTATGATGTACACTGACCACCAGGGGGCAGATGCTCAACGCAGGAGCTGCACCCTGGTGGTCAGTGCGCTCCCACAGGGGGAGTGCCACTCAGCCAGAAGCCGGGCTCATAACTGGCAAGCACAGCAGCGGTGGTGGGAGCCTCTAGCTTTTTAATATTCCCATATTACTTGAAGAAACCTGAGCAAGCCTTTCCTATTGACAACCAATACAAAAATGCTCTTAAGCTATAACTATTAAAGGGACATTGTTCAGGCAGTATATCAAATGGATATTAATGGTTAAAAGCATGTACTTCTAATTGAGTGCTGGCTGTGTGACTTTAGGCAGATTACTTAGCCTTTCTATACTTCAATTTACTTATATATAAAATTATGATAATAAGGCTTACTTCAGAAGAATTACTGTTTATGTGGTTGGACTTTTTTCTCTAGTGGATGTGTTTTTTATTTTGATTTATAAGAATATTAAAATGTATTATGAATAGTAAATTTTACATTCATTGCAAAGGGCCTCCCATAATGTGCTATTTTGGCACGTGGATTATAATGAGGCACATGCAATCAAGACCCTGTAGGTTCAGGAGAAACTTCTACCCCTCCCTTAACTACCTAGGAGACTCTAAATTGGGGTCTTGCACATAATAACAATTAATATGAGAGATAACGTTTTATGACCTACCTATAGGACAGGACAAACTTCTAACTACTGAACAGCTGCTCTTATTATTCTGCAAATTTCCCTCTTCCCCTGTGAAGTCCCAAGGAACCTTACCTCATTCCTTGGCTCAGGATGACATATATATCCCATTTTACCATTCTGTCTTGGAACCTCTCATGTATGTGGGCCTCTGATTCTCTCATATATGTGAGGTTTCCAAACATACATATATAATTAAATTTGTTACTTGCTCTTGTTAGTCTGTCTCATGCCACTTTAATTATTAGAACAGCTAAATGAATCTAGAACGTTAGAGGAAAATTTCTTCCTTCCCTACAATTGCATATACTTGGGGAGACTTACTAGTACTATGCACTAACTTTTAGTTCTTTTACTCCTTGCCTTGTCTATAAATAAGAATTATTCTGATTACTTGATATATAATTACAATGTTAATTTAAGAAATTGTTATATACTATAGTGACCTTAATTTCCATTATTTATTGTTTTAAATGTAGAGTCCAAAGAAAGTAGGTACTTACAGGAGAATTACACCCAAAGCAATTCACAATATGAGAAAGAGATCTTTTGTGTCATTTTTCTAAAGATGATTTATGTTTTTCTTCTATATAAAAGCAATAATACAGAAAGATTTTTTTGTGTGTAATAAGAGCTAAAGTTCATTGTCCACTTTCACTTAAAAGATGAACTGTAATTCTTCTTTTGAACATGTTATTAATGAGCTTGAGACAGATTGCTAAAACTAAATCTCATGTTCTATTTACCAGTGTGCTGAAGCCAGCTTATTATGGGGATAGCAAAGACTAGCAATGAAGTGTTAGGAATTTGTAAACCAGTTGACATCACATTGGTGACTTGAAATTAGAAATGGTGAAAGTACTTATACTAGGGAAATTAACAAATGCCACAAATCAGGGTTGTTTTTGTTGTTTTAATATACTTCTATTGATTTTTAGAGATAGGAAGGGAGAGGGATGGATAGAGAGATAGAAATATGGATGATTAACATTGATTGGCTGCCTCCTGCATGCCCCCTACTGGGGATCAAGCCCACAACCTGGGCATGTGCCCTGACTGGGAATGGAACCATGACCTCCTGGTTCATGGGTCGATGTTCAGCCATGGAGCCACACCGGCCGGGTGGGTTTGGGTATTTTGTTATGCTGTTTTCCCCAGAGAGCTCGCTTTTAAACATTTACCATTACACCACTGATACTATTTTTCCATCATCCCATGTTTTTTACATTTTAAAACAGAATGGCTCTTTCAAACCCTGAATTAGTCCACTCAGAATTTGACTATGATATTCATTCCATAGCAAATATAAATAGATTAATGAGGGAAGCCTGGGCATTTTTTGTTCTTTGTAGGAAACAAGAACATAAATCCTGTCTGTCCAGAATATAGGCAGAGTTAAGAATGTTGCCCTGTCTTTCTTATCCCATCTGTCATCATAGGTAAAATTTCAACTAAATCTTTTGAGAAATCTGAGTAGAATATTTATGAAGTCTTATATTACAGTTCTTACTCTGCAACTTTAGTTTTAGAAAAAGTAGAATTTTCATCCAAGAAAAAAGCCAAGAATGACCTCTAAGGGAATATAGATAGTAATCACAGAGGACTTATAAAATTGTTTTGAAAAATATGCAATCCAAAATTAATTAGTTTCTAATCTCATTCATACTGCCTTTGAGAGATTTTTTAGGTCATCATTTTTCTGGTAGGTAGTATTTGGGTATTAATAGAAAAACCTAGACATATTTTTTTTAAAAATATGTTTTTGTTGATGTTAGAAAGAGAGGTAGGGAGAGGTAGAGAGAGAGAGAAAAAAAAACACATCAATTGGCTGCCTCCTGCATTCCCATACACTGGGGATTGAACCTGCAACCTGGGCATGTGCCCTGACTGGGAATTGACCCAGTGACCTTTTGGTACATGGGATGATGCTCAACCAACTGATCCACACCAGCCAGGGCAATAGATTCTTACCTAGTCTTGGCTCCGCGTAACCAGTGATATGAAACTGACTCATATAGTTTTAGTTTAGTTTTTATTTAAATTTGATATATTTGTCAACATTTAAAATTCAGGAGAATTCATACAAACTCTGGATTCCTGTTTTCACTTTTATAAATTAGATCTCCCCACTGTGGGATCACCTGTTTTTCAAGGCAGCAATTCACTCCTCTTGTGCAGTCATAAGCCCTTAAGACCATTAATATGATCTTATGTCCTTCAGTCCTCCCTACTCATTACGTTCAATCTAGCTCAATTCATATGGTTGCATAACCTGCCCCATTCGTGCAGACATTTAATTCTGTACCTCTCATTCCAAGCTGACTTTATTTCATATAAGCACCACTAAATATAATTTATAACTAATCACTCATAATTATTAACCATAATTATGTCATTATCCAATAATCACTCTTTGTTTTCTGCTTCTTAAACTTTAAAATAAATAGCACCAGAGGATGCTGAAAGAGAGCTACCATAAGCTGTTTTGACAAGCCCTGCAATATCTTTGGATTTTCATACCCGGGTCATAGTGCTTAATGAAAGTGACTAGTCATCCTTGACATGCTAAGAGCCACGAAGGAATGCCATGAATAAATTACATGGCCTTCAGTTTGACAGCATCAATGTATCTTAAGGCTATAATTTTATAACTTCAATTTCTATTTTCAAGTGCAACAAAGAAAATAAAATTGTGGATGAAAACTTCTGGAACAACAACAAAAGGAGTTTTCTTGATCAAAGAAAATTTAAAAAAGAGTACTACTAGAGAAATATGTTAAGTCTTGAAAAATAATTTCTATTATAAAAAGATACTTTTAGCATACTGAATTGAAATATTTAATTCAGTAGCTCCTAGCAGACAGGACAATTACTATGAAGTTATCTTTGTATAGCATATACCATTTATTTATGAATTCACTAAATTCATAAATACTGAATAGCTACTATGTCTGCACTATTACAGGGATATGGTCCTCAAGTAGCCCACAGTCAAATAGAAGAAATGGACATGTCAACGAAAATGTGATGGAGAGTACCAAATGCTATTACAGAAAAATCCCATTGGCAGTTTGTATTGGCTATGATCCAATTGCAGAGAAAAGAATCTGTTCTACCTAAATTAATAAGATAATTTGGAAAGCAGAAGACTCAGGCTCTAACTTGAGCTTTTAGAAATAATTTCCAGAGCTATACCGCAAAGCCAGGCTGCTTAGGGAGCCCTTGCCTCACCTGCTGGATTGGGATGCTGCTCCACAGCGGCAAGCCCTCTCCACCACCATGCCACACAGCCAGGATGGAGAGAAATAAAATAGTACTGTATTGGTAACCATGACAGAACTGGGTATGCACCTGGAAATGACAGTTAAAGCATGAGGGGGGAGGAGAACCAAGATGGCGGCATAGGTAAACACCGGAGATTGCTGCCTCGCACAACCACTTCAAAAATACAAATAAAAGACAGAACGGACATCACCCAGAACCACAGGAAGGCTGGCTGAGTGGAAATTCTACAACTAGAAGGAAAGAGGAAAGCATACCGAGACTCAGAGGAGGCGCAGTACAGAAGTCAAATATTAAGGTGTGGAGGTGCGCGCGGAGCAGGATGGCGGCTGAGGGCGCGGTTGTCTGTTTCAATCAGGAGGGAGTCTCAGGCTCTGAGCTCCAGATCTGGGCGAGTCTCTAGGGACCCAGACTCAAACAGGAGAAGCGGGACTGTCTGGCATCGGTCGGAACTCGAGGGCAGCTTTCTCTCCGAGGTTTGCAGTGGTTACTGGGACACTGAGAGGCAGAGCCTCTGGGGATGGGACTGAGAGCAGCCATAACTGCTC